CCAGTGCAGCCAGGTGCCTCTCCACAACCTTCCTGTCAATGTCAACTGGACACTCAGGTGTCCTGTTATGTCCTATACCATCTCTAGATGGGCTTGAGTTCTTCTGGGAGAAAACAGAGGCAAAAAAGTCATTAAGCCTGTCTGCTTTTTCTCTGTCCTCCACCAGAGTTTCTCTTTCTACTCCCAAAAGTGGTCCAATTGCCTCTTTTACCTTGTGTTTGCTTCTCACATATCTGTAGAAGTTTTTCTTATTGCAGTGAGCCCCCCTGGCCAGACCCAACTCATACCGAGCGTTGGTTTCTCTGATGGCTGATTTGCAGTACCTAGCAACGTTCATATACTCCTCTTTAGAGGTCTGACCTTCCCTCCGTTTCCTGAACATTTCCTTTTTCTCCTTTAGCTTATTCTGAAGCTCTCGGTTCATCCACATCTGTTTCTTGGAGCCCTTACCACATTTCCGTCTTGCTGGAATAGTGAGGGCTTGAACTCGCAAAAGCTCATGATTGAGAAGAGCCCACCCTTCACTCACTCCCCCACGAAATGACTCCCATCAAGCCTCTGAGTTAGTTGAAGTTGGCCCTACGAAAATGTAACCTACGAGTCTGGCTACAAACTTCCTTGACCCCCCACAGCAACTGGAATTCAAGGAGGACATGGTCACTTCCCCCTAAGGTCCCCACCACCTTCACCCCATCTACCAATTTTTCCCTGTTGGTTAATATTAAGTCTAGTATGACCGAGCCCCTTGTAGCTTCCTCCACCATTTGAAAAAGGAAGTTGTCGGCCAGACAGGTCAGGAAGTTGTGTGATTCTTGTCGCTTTGTTGAGCCTGTCTCCCAGCACACATCGGGGAAGTTGAAGTCTCCCATAATTATAAGGTTCTGATGTTTGGATACTCTACTAATCTGTTCAATGAGGGCAGCATCCATTTCCTGTCCCTGGTCAGGTGGTCTGTAGCAGACTCGAACAACAATACCCCTTGTCCTATCTCCCCTTATTTCCACCCATATACTTTCCATGGGGCTGTCAACCACATTCTCCAGAACTTCCTGACAGTCTAGCCCTCTCTTCACTCTGCTCCTCTTCTACCCTTCCTGTTTTTCTTGAACAACTCATACCCATCCACTGCCACATCCCAGTCATGAGAATCATCCCACCAAGTCTCACTGATTCCTATTATATCATAGTCCTCTGTTTGCAAGAGAATCTCAAGCTCTTCCTTCTTATTACTCATACTACGGGGCATTGGTATATAGGCACTTGTAGCCTTGTACCTTTGTTTGGCCTGTCCTACCCAGGTGGGCCCCCGCTGTTTTCTCTTCTTCATTGAAGTTCCCATATTGATCGTCCCCTTCCCCTTGTGGCTTCAGTTTAAAGCTCTCCTGATTAAGCTCTCCAAACGTTTTCTTCTCCGACCTTGAGAGATGAAGCCCATCATGTGGGCTTCTAGAAGAAAACTTATCCTGTGGTCCCAGAACCCAAAGCGCTCTTGCAGGCACCACCATCTCAGCCAACGATTCACCTCGAGTATGGTCTGTTCTCTTCGCACTCCTCTTCCTGTGACTGGAAGGATAGAAGAGAATACCACCTGTGCCCCCAATGCCTTCAACTGCCTTCCAAGAGCTTCATAGTCCTCTTTAATTTTCATGATAGTATTCATGGCCGTGTCATTCGTCCCCACATGAACCAGCACAAACGGGTACATCGGTTTGTAATATCCTGAATTCTGGCCCCAGGTAAGCAACACATCTCTCGGAGTAGGGAATCTGGCCTGGACACATTACGTTCCATACCCGTGAGCCCCGAACGACCACCACTTTCAGTTTCCTTCCACTTCCTCCATGCCCTCTTCACACCCTTTTCCAGGTCTTTGTGGCTCTCCTGCCACTCTCATCTCTGTCACCCTGTCAAGCACCTCAAAACAATTCTTGAGCTCCAGTGGACCAGAGCATCGTCTTGGTCAACGTCTTTGGGTTTGTCCTGTAGAACTGAGAGGAGGCTCAGAAGGGAGAACTCTTCCTTCTTCTCCTTGACTTTCTTCTTCATGTTCTTGCAGAGTTCCCAGGTTCTTGTCAATAAAATCTTCCCCTTCCTTGATTACCTGAAGGGTGGTGTTCCTCTCCTGCAGGCTTTGAATGTTCTCCTCCAAAAGCCTAACCAGCTTACACTTCTGACAAGTGAAGTCGGTCTTCTCTTCCATGAGGAAAACGAACATGGCACACTCCATGCAGGTGACTGGAAAGGGGCCTTCAGTCGACATCATTGCCATCCAAGTATATTCTAAGAGTACTCTGAGCAGAGTTGCGGGGCTCTCAGGCAGATTCTCAGGCTAAGCTCTTCAGCTCGCGCCTCTGGCGAGGAGGAGCCTTTTGTCTCAAAAGGTAACTTCCTGCCAATAGGGCTGCCAAGTCCCCCATGGAGGGAGGAAGGAAGCGCACTGGGGTGCCCGCCCAGGGGAGCACTGGCGCTCCCAGCTCCAGCAGCAGCAGTGTGAGAGTTGAGAGCAGGGCTTTTGGTGGGGAGTGGGGAGAAAGAGGCGGCAGCGGCTGGGGTCAGGGGGCGACGCAGCACGCAGGGCTTTTGGTGGGTGTGGGTGTGTGCAGTTTGGGACCCTAAGGGACAGTCCACCCTAGGCGAATGCCTAGTTCGCCTAGTGAGTGAGCCAGCCCTACCCAAAACACAATTAGCTCCACACAGAACTTAAACAGAACCACTCTCTAGCAGTCTCCAAAGAACCCACTCACCCTCAGCTTCTCACACAGCCGCAAGGAAAGGCAAAAGGCAGAAAGACGTGATCTTGTGCATGAATCCAAAACTTAGAATTCTATATAAACAAGGCTGAAATAGTGTTATAATTCATTCTATTACTACTGCTTAGCAACACTGAACTCAGTGTACAAAAAAATTATTGTGTGTTAAATGCCAGGACGAATGGTGTGATTCTGAGTCATTCTTGCATTCATCCAAACCCACACAGAGCAGGGAAATCTTGAAATCAGTGCTCCTGGGATGCTGTGACACCCCAATCATTTTACTTCCTCCTTGTCCTGCTTCCATAGGTGGTCACTATTGCTGTATACAGCTTCTTTGTAGCTTGTCTCATTGGGCGGCAATTCCTTGACCCAGCCAAGGGTTATACAGGACATGATCTGGATCTGCACATCCCTGTTTTTACCCTGCTGCAGTTTTTCTTCTACGTTGGATGGCTCAAGGTATGACAGGTTTAGACACATTAAGGTTGTGGGAAGCAGATGGGGGAAACAATCCAGTGATTCAGAGGTGTCTGGAGTGGTTGCCATGTTTGTTATTACACTGTTGTGGCAACAAGGCAAGTGGAGGGATGACTTAACATGTAACCTAGAAGGTGAGTCTCCTCCTTATTATGAATATGTATCTGTTGCAGGTGGCTGAGCAGCTCATCAACCCTTTTGGGGAGGATGATGATGATTTTGAAACCAACCTACTGATTGACAGAAATTTGCAGGTCAGTCCACCCTTCTGCTCAGAGTCAAAGCAGCTCTGACCTTGTAAGCAAAGGATAATCCCCATCGTCCATTAATTACAAACCCAAGGCTGGGGGGCCTAAGGATACGAAGAACTAGTTCTCGGCTGTCAGCCACTGGCCCTGTCCTCTCCTGCACTTAAAGGGTTTCTCATGGGATCCTCCCTTTGTTCCCAGGTCTCCATGATGGCTGTGGATGAGATGTATGGGGATCTGCCCCTCTTGGAAAAGGATCGCTATTGGGATGCCTCAGACCCTCGAGCCCCATACACAGCAGCCACTGTTTCCATGCTGCATCACCCATCCTTCCAGGGATCCACCTTTGACATAACGTAAGTGTGAGAGGGCACAATAAGGACCTATCCTAAGAGCTGCCCCACTGGATCAGACCAGTAGCCCATCTAGACCGCATCCTGTCGCACTCAGTGGCCAACCAGAGGTTGAGTTCTTTCTCTGATGTTGCCTCCTAGCAAAGGCTGACTACCTCTGAATGTGAAGGGGTTTAGTCAGCATGGCTAGGTTCAAAAGATCTCTCCTATGGGAAGAGAAAAGGAATACATTTTCATGGCTGTCTGTAGTGGAGGGAGAAAGGAGGAAGGCTGTACTATCGGGGCAGTTTCCATTCAGAGTAAGGGCAGCTGGCATTTTCCTCACATTGTGTCTGAGGTAGGGCTTGTGTATTTTTGCACAATTGTGGCTTGAGAAACACCAACTTGGTTCACCACCTAGGGAAACAGTGTTCTACTACAGCATAATGTTTGAGCACAGTGTGAAAGACACCTGCCTTCTTACTGCAGACTAGGGCAGCTGAGCTGGCTCTTTTAATATTCCCCTCTTGGTTTACAGCCTGGCCAAGGAAGATATGCAGTTCCAGCCTCTAAAGGAGATTCCAGAGGGCCTTGAGCATGGCCACCATGTTCCCGCTCACCTCCTGAACCGCTTCCTTTCCACAGCCCCTGCACCTGGTGGCTTTGGACGCCGACTGTCTCTGTTGAGGCGCAAGAACAGCTGCGTCTCTGAAACATCCACAACCTACAGTTGCCTCTGTCAGGACACACAGACCACGGGCTGCAGCTGTGGGCCTCCTGGGCAGTCTCTGCCTGTCAACAGTGTCCACTTTGAGGGAGATGGGGAGCCTGGCCCTGATGCCACTGATCTAGCCACAGACATGCACGATGACCTCCCCGAGGCCCATGATGACAAGCTGAGCGACCCAACTTACAGCTTGCTGGGCCATAAGAGGGCTCATAGCCAAGAGGCACTGTCCCTTCTGGATACATCTGTTCCAGCTACAACTGGTGCCTCTTCTCAGCCTCTCCCAGACTATGGCCCTTCAGATACTCCCTTCTTTCATCCCCCAAAGGAGTTCCCCAGCAAAGGCCTTCCTCCAGCCAGCTACCCTCCCTGGCTACAGAGCCCCATTGAGGAGGAAAATGTGGCATGAGTTAATACTTCAGTCTCAACAGATCTGACTGATGCTGTTATCAAGGGCTGTCCCATAATTATGGTACCATGATTTCAGAGGCTTCAAAATCTAGGGGACTGCTGCAATGAGACTGAGCAGCTGAAGGTGCAAGGAGATTTTAATCACTGTCCAATGCAGATCTCTCAGAGGAAGGCCAAAGATGCTTGTAAGAAAGCCACCTGCACAGGGCACCTATCACTACTGGCATATTGTGGCATGGGCTGACAAAATGAGATGCAACACGGTAATCTGGTTTTTCCTCTTTCAAGCAACACACACACACACCATTATAATTTGCTCTCACTCTACATTTGCAAGCCCTAAAGTGGTCAGAGGGGGCTGCTCTTGCAGTTTCCATTCTGTCCCAGGCTTATGCAGGGCTGGTCATTGTTTCTTAATTCTTTCCTCTTGTAATGAGATGGGGGGACAGGAAAGGGAAGAGAGAGAATGGCAAAGACTCTAGAGTCGTCGTCCCCACCCCGATCTTTCTCTGTGGGTGTGTTTAATTACATTTTAAAGGAATGAATTTAAAGTTGTATTGTTTTCTAATACTTTGGGGGACTATGTGGCAATACAATGCTACTTTAACTCATTCAGTTCTCCAGGCAAGATTCAATTGCAGTTTATGGTGACCTGGATTTAAGTATAGTAGCACCTTAGAGACCCACAAAATTGGGGGGGGGGGGTATAAGCTTTTTGAGAGCCAAAGCTCTTTCCAGTGCACTAGCCCCAACCTTTTGTACTGTGACAGTTCCATCTTACTGGCTTCAAACATACATTGTAGGAAAGGGGGGGGGGAAATCAGTGCTTTCTATCTACAGTCTCTCCACCACCTTCTCCATTATACTACACAATAAAAAGTCAAGTAACATGGTCCTGCCATGTTTGTTTTTAGTCACAGTTCTTCATAAAGGCAGGAACCTGTAATTTTTAGTTCTCAGCAACAGGAAGTAGTTACATATTGTAACAGCTATGTTAGTCTTAGGTTGCCATCTCTTCCAGACATGGAAACTAGTTATTGTACATTTTACTGCTATGTAAGTAAATAGCCTTGTCAATGTTAAAATAAGTAAATTTTTAGGCTTCGGATCTGATCAGTTAGTACTTAACCAAGCCTGCAGACACAAGGGAAGGCACTCACCATATGTCAGACTCCTGGCTAGAGTTATTCTCAACAACACTCTTTGGCAGTGATTTATTTATTGACGAATACTCATATTCCAGGCTAGACCAGTACCGTGTCAGACCTGAGGTTCTAGTGAGAGAATCCAAAGATATAGACAGTTCAAACAAGGACCCCCCCCTTCCATACAACCAATCACACGTCTTCCCACCTAGCATCCACACTCACTCCCCCCCCCCCCCCCCCGCGTCAAGCATTGTGTAGAATAGCAAGCTGGCACAAGGCCGTCCCAAGACAGGGAGGTATCTTGGAAAGAGTTACGACACCTATGAAAGAGAGCAGTTTACACACTCAGCCATTCACCCCCCCACAGTCATGGCAAACTAAAGACAGAGTCTGACACCACACAACTACAAGATGGCCTTTCCTTTCTAATTCAGATCAATGCTGCCACCTGCTGTTTCCTACAGAGCTTATATGTCTTATCAGATCCATGGCTCTTTTCTGAACCATCCCTGGTCTGTCAATTTGACATACAATGCCAATGAAGTCCAGCACTCCTGCTGAGGTTTGCACAGTAAAAGCAGTTAATCCCATCGTTGTGGGAGAGGAAATATCGGGACAGTCTTGACAATCTTATGTGTCTTAGTGATCCACCCATTCCATCCAGTGTGGATCACTGAAGCGGTATGTTCTCGTGTGTACTGCAGTTCTTCTCAAGAGAGTTCTTGTTCTCAGCTTAATTTTTCACACATTAATAGGAGTGCTGGAAATTCTGAGAAAGCCCATCCAAAATCAAACACATTATCTCCATATTAATTCCTCACAGCACTGATTTCCTGGCCTAGCACCTTTCAAGGCCCAAGCTGGTTAACTTTAAGAAACTTTCAAATAAATACAACTTTTCACCATCAGCACTGAAAACCAGGCCAAGGAGTTTCTAGGCCTCACCTTCCTAGAGCAAGAGCACTTCTCAAAACAGCATTTGACTCTGCTACAGAAATCAGAAACTACAAGAAAGATGTTAGTGTTTTTATTCGTAGTGTAAAGAATTTTCCTCATATCATTGTAAGCCAGGTGTCTATCCAGTAGAAAAATAAGAGAGATGCCTGCTTGGACTGGTAAGATAGCTTTACAAAACATATAATTTCAAAACATATAATTTACAGCATTAAAACTATGATTTTTTAACTAAAAAAATCAAAACTTTTAAAGAACATGTTTAAAAAGGATACTGCATCTCACAGTTCCCACCAGAATGGGAACATAATCCAAAAAGGGATTGCATACTAACTGGAAAAATAGACACACTCGGAAAAAGGAAAAAAACCCAACATACTCAAAATATTGCTGGGAAGACAATACGTACACAACCTATTAATGGATAGGACTACAAGCTCTCATCATTCCTTACGTCAGTTCAGTGTTGATTGTTTTTTCAAGGCCCAGTCCCTTCTTGGAAGGGAGCCATAGGCCACCAAGACAAAGTTCTGGCAGAGGTGGCTCAGACACTGCAGGTGGCTGGAGTTAAAAATGTGGAAGGGAAAAGAGGCAGGTGCTACCTTTGAAGCTGCACATGAGACTGAAATCAGAGTAGCCACGTCTTTACACACTAATCACCAACACCTGGAGGTACCCTCACAGATTCCATGGAGGGGGGGGTTGCAGCAGTCAAGGACATCCTTGGCTGGCCCACAAAGATGAGATCCTCAGGGAAGGAGTAGTTTAAAATATTAAGATACACAAGCCATCTGTGAACCAGAACATCAGGAGAGACAGGTAAGGAGTGGCAATGAAGGGCACTTCCCATCAACCAGGGCACTTTTTTTGTCCTCCACAGACCCAAATTCTGGTGGGAGTGGGAGTAGGCAGGTATGTATCCACTAGGGAAGATTCAACCTCTGCCGCTCATGACTCTTCAATGCACACCCCCAAACACCATGGCTTGGCATAGGAGGAATTTTAAGCAGCAGAGAATTAATTCCAGCAGTAAAATGGACACTTGACTTTCCCCAAGGAGATGCTGCTGCAAGAGACACAGGTTATACCCGTTTTGAACACTGAGCCCAAAGCAAACATTCACCCAAAGAGCCCTAGGACAGCTAAACCAGATCAGGACAACTGAGAAGCCTTGTCAGGGCCAGTGTATCGGAGCAGCAAGGGCTGGGCCCTGCTTAGGTGGCTTCGTCGAGCATTGGTAGCCAATCTTTGCTGCGCCAAGAAGGACTGAACACTTGTAGAGGTGTATGACCGCTCCTCTGTGGCTCGCTGGTGTAGTGCCAGGCCCTGCAGTGGGAGGCAAGGGGGAAACTATATTTCAGAGCCCTTGAAGTTGTGCCAACAGACTCCTGGCTCAGGATCTTTCCCTCTTCCTCTGCAACAGGGCTCTGGCCAAGATGGCATGTAATCCATGCCAAAAGATTCTAAATGCTGCCTTTAAATAGTGGCCAACAACAACAACAAAAAAACCGCTTTAACATGTCTGTACCATTCTCTGGAACCTAATCAGCATCTACAACAGTTTACAACAATGTGTGTTTGCTGTGAACTTACCATCTGCCTAACAGTTTTGCACAATTCCTGCTACATGCAAGGCAAGGACAAGACACACACACTCTCCTTCCCAACTATGGGAAGTCCAGCAAAGCCTCCTTTTGGGCTTCAGTGGTTTCACTCGGCAAAGCCTGCATGGTTCTAAACACTGCCTCCTGACCATAACTGACAGGAACGTGTCCTAGAAGACAAGGATTCTCACTATGGGATGCTGCACCTCGGGCCTGATCCTAAATGTGCAGTGCTCAACTGCAGATGTGTACAGACAACCCAGCGCTGCCACCTCTGTGGCAAAGCAGCACAACAGGTTTCCTCTTGCCAAAGCTCTCAAGCTTATGGCAAACTCACCATGTTATACCAGGCAGAAATTATGAGTTTTTCTTCTTGTTCCTGTCGAGATTTTGTCTTCTCAAAATCAGTCTAGTGAGATAAAAAGAAAGGTTAGTGCAGGCCTAAACTACCAACAAGGTAAGAGAGGTCAGGCCTATGGGATCCCGCCCCAAGGCTGATGCTGCAGCTCTATTCCCAAAGGCATCCATCGTCTCAAGGCTGGCCAAAGTGAAGGGGGAAACAAAAAGGCAGGATGGGTTTGCCTCTTCCTTTGTGTTGTACAAGCCCTGAGGCTCTCTGTCCAATCCCGTGAAAGCAACGTGGAGACCACAGACAAGAGCAGGTAGGGCTGCCAAGAAGCAGCTAGAGACAGGCAAGCCAAAGCCCAGATGAATTTAAATAATGCAGAAAGGGAAAACCCCAATTCTGTGTTATAAAGGCCAGCGGGCCCTAGCACACGCATCCTTGTTGGTTTTAGTAACCCACCATCAGAGTCAGTGTGTTTACTCCATTTTGTAAGTGCTGCAGGGAAACGGGATTCAGGTCCACCAAAGACAGAGAGTGGGCCCCTCACCACGCCTGTACAAAGCCAGTCATTCCCTGCCCCTTTCCAGGGTACAGAAGCTCATTTTGCTCTAACTTCATTTTTTGTAAAGGCTGATCAGGGTATTTAGAGATGTAAGATGCAACTCTTGCCACCCACCATCACTTTCCACTGCTCCCCCAGTGGCCTGAATTGGAACTAAAATATCAAAGATTCAAGCACCCTCAGCCACAAATTACAAGTAAACTATATAACTAATAGCGAAAGGCGCCCCCTGTGTGCGGATATCTAAATCCGCACATTGGGGGCACCTGGGGGGCAGGGAGATTTTCCTGCACACTTGGGGCAGTCCTCAGGTGTGCACAAAAATCTGAAAATCTGAAAAAAATATCGGGGGGATATTTAAATCCCCCCAAAAGTAAAAGAGCGTCCCCTGCACATGTGCAGGGAATGCTCTGCGAAGTGCCTCGCTGCTGCCGCCACAGGAGATGGGAGGGCGGGAGAAAGCTTGGCGGGCCGGCCTCACCGCCGCTGCTGTGGTGACTATGGGGGGGG